TTTGATCGCAACGCGTTGACTGGCGTTGACCTAGGGTTACGCGTTGACCGGCGTTGACCCTTAGAGTTTTGGATCGTCGAACGTCGATTGGTGTGGATTTTCATTCTCGAACGTTAACTTTTGTTGCAACGCATTGACTGGCGTTGACCTAGGGTTACGCGTTGACCGGCGTTTGACCCTTAGGGTTTGAATCGTCGAACATTGATTGGTGTTGATTTTCATCGAGACATCCAATAATCGACGGAAACGGGCGAATTCGGATCCAAAACAGGCGTATAGGGACAAAACGGGACTCAAAACACCCGGGGGTGTCTTGCCCTTGGCCGAGACACCTTGGGGTGTCTCGGCCAAGGCCGAGACACCCTAGGGTGTCTCGGTTTTGGGGCCGAGACACCCCCCTCTTCCCTCTCTTTTTTTTTTGTCTTTTTCCCCCTTTTGTTTGTTTCCCTTTTCCTTGTTTTGGTCTCATTACTTCTTTTGTTTTCCCCCTTCTTTTCAAATTTTCAAAAGAGAATTCTCTCCCTCTTAAACCTCTTCTTCTACTTCCATCCCTCCACCATTATTTCATCTCTTTCAAAAGCTTCAAGCCCTCAAGAAAATTCGGATTTGTATGCTCCTTCTTGGCCGAAAATCTTCACCTCTCACTAGGGTTTCTCCCTCCACCTTCAAGCTCAAGTCTTGGCCCTTGGAGTTAGGGTTCTCACACCTCTTGATTTGGGTAAGCTCCTCTTCACCATCCTCTATTTTTTTGATAAAGATTACATCTTTATACTTGTAATAGGCAATGGATTGTGTATGCACCATATTTCGGGGGGTTTTGTGCAAAAGAGGCAATATGGCCGAAATTTTGGAGGGCTTATTTGCAAAAATAGGGACTGAAATTCGTGGGGGTTTTTATGCAAAATTGGAACTGAAATTTTGGGGTTGGATTTATGTCCATTTGGTGGAACATTGTGAGGGGTGCTTTATGCAAGAGGATCAAAGAGTTATTTGAGGGGTTAATTTGCAAAACAGCCCATAAATGTTTTAGGGGGCTTATTTGCAAAAGGGCAGCGAATTTAGGGCTGACATCTAATGAGTTTTGACCGTGAACTCATGATCAAAATTTTGATAAAGGCACGTGGAGACCAAACCAAGATTTTGTAGAGGGGCTTTTATGCAAAATTGGCTAAATTCTGCAAAAGGGCTCATTTGCAAACTTTAACCAAAATTGTGGGGTACCGGGGTGTTATATGATCGAATGTGACGATCATGACCCGGGTCACGCGTGTCCTTGACCTAAACTTTGGCCTTGAACACGAAGGGTATTTTGGGTATTTCACCAAAATTCACCGTGAAAGATGACAATCATCGTGCACGAAATTTGTAGGTTTAATTAGACTTCAATTATGAAATCCTATTTGTGTATAGGATTTTAATTAAAGTTCTTAATTTCCCTTTTAAATTTCGTATATTCATGTTTTAGATTGTACCTGACTTGCTGCTTTTCGTTGCAGATTTGCAATGTCTCCGCGTCGATCTCGTCCCCGGAGGAGCCGTTCTCGTTCACAGCATAGTGAGGAGGAGGTCCCCACGACATCCTCTCCCGCGGCTTCATTTTTCGGGGGTGAGAATTTATGCAGAGATTTTGTCTTACATCCCTGATTGACCTCTTTGCGGGTCATGAAGGAAGAACCGATACCTCTCTCGCGGAGGGTAAGGTTTCAGACTTGTTTTGCTTAGCCAATTCAAGTCTTCGGATATATTGGGGCGATTTTGTGTTGTCCTACACCTTATAGGTCGGTGTACGTTACCACGTTATTCACGTGATGACGCATGCCGTCCTTCTGGTGTAGGTCACTCAAAATCGTCTCTCCAATTATTCCGTGGATGAGTCTATCATTCTTCTTACGAGATGGATTTTCTGATTCCGCCCTTGTGCTTTATTGCAGTGGAATTTCCCGCGGGTAGCCTTCCTCCTCACGCCAACACCGGATGTAGTCGGGAGGTTTTCTCTTCTGCTACTCTTAGGCAGGCTGTTGGCCCACTTCCTCGGTTCGACGGGGATCGTCCAAATGACTCTTGCCGTTCGATACAGGAAGGAGGGCGCCATTGCTTGCGCCAACTTATCACAGATGCCTCCTTCACCCCTGATTCTACTTCCACTCAGGTTCTAAAGAAGCCGGGTTTTCTATTTGGAGATCATGTCAGGGATCCTGCCACGCTGACTCTTTGTGAGGAGCATTGGTTAACTCTTGACGGTGGAGCCTGTTTGTACATCCCTTCGATTCCACGCCACTATTCTTTCAGTCATTTGAAGGGGCAAGCCGTGGACCGGCAGATGTCTTGGCATCTTACTGAAGATGCTGATCGGGTTCAATGCGGATATGCTACTAACCATAAGACTCCTGGCTCTGAGGGGTATCATGACGTGCGTGGTCTACGACCCGGGATCATGGGTCTTGATACTGCACCCCCAGGCGAGGTGTCAGCTGCTGCTCCGACTGTGAGCAACCGTCTGGCTCTTCTTGGGAGACAGTTACCCCCATCGGAGTACAGATGTTATGGCTGGGCTTCCTCCCTAGCCAAAGGGTGGTGGGCGCGCATGACTGGTTTCGTCTTGGCGCGCTGGGAGAGGGATCTGAAGAGCAGTGGGTTGTATGCACCCATACGAGCTACTATGTACGGCATCCCAGTCAGCTGTCGCCATTTCTTGGCTTTGCTGGAGACTTATGTGCCCGATAGCAACACCTTCCTGACCAGCGGAGGTGAGCTAGGGTTGGCCTTGCACGAGATGCATTATGTTTCGGGTCTTCCGATGGGGGACTGTCCGTATCAGGAGTACTTCCCTACGAACCAGCAGCTGGAGTGTATGAAGAAAGATACTCCGGACATGTATGACACACTCTGGGATCTTACTTGCCACTACTACACTTCCTTGATCCAAACTTCTCCCCAAGCGAGAAGGAAGAGGCAGATCAGCTTGAAGCAGTTTGCCAGCTACTTGTTTCAGAACTTGGATGGTGATTCTAGTGCGCCCATTCATGAATTAGACGTGATGACTCCTTCGGCCGTTAATGAGTTGTTGGAAAAGGCTGAGGTTCGTTCCTACACTATCGGCAGTGCTGAGGGGGCTTTTCCCGCGGGGACAAAGTTTCGCTCTTTTCTCCGCCGCGCACAGAGGTCTATAGGGTCCCGGGCGCTATTAGCAGGCTACCTTGCCCTTTGGTTGAAGAAGTGTGTCGTCCCGCACCAACCTTCTGACGCTCTACCCATCGAGGTGCTCTTCCCTGCAGTTCAGCTGGCTTATGGGAGAGAGCTTTCCCTGCTCCCAGCAATGGTTGCTAGTATCCATTGCGGGCTCAGGGGTCTGGTTAGCAGTTTTACACATATGGGTTCTGAACCATCAGCTGAGCTGGTTTGCCCAAAGGTTGAGCTCCCTTACGCATATTTGATGGCGTGGCTCGTTCTTCACCGTCCCGACTTGATGTCGGCCCCCAGCGTTGTTGACATCCCTGTCCCCTTCATGCAATTGTTGGAGCAGAGCAGATGGTTTGGGAGCAAATTTAGTGATGTTCAGCGAGAGCTCCGGGTCCGCAAGAGTTGGGAGTTCTTTAAGTGTTTCCCTCACTTTTCAGGTCGCTATGGCGACGTGCTGGTTGATGAGGAGAAACCTAGAAGTGACCGGACCGTTCTTGACGCTGGTTGCTTCCGGTGGTTAGTGAACATCCGTGTAGGCTATCTCGTCCTTCGGGTGAAGAACCAGTGCCACATAGAGCCTTATCTCCCTTGCCGCTTTGCTCGACAATTCGGCTATGACCAACTGTATGTCGGGAATCCGAGCCGCAGCCTGCGGGTTGAGGGAGGATTGATTGATGGCGTTCGAGCGTGGCTATGGACGATGGTGGGCTGTACTGGAGCCCGTTTTGCTCTTCCTTCGTACCGGCGTAAGCCATTGATCACTTTCCTCAGCTGCAAGTGGTTCCTTTCTGCATATGAGTCCATCAGCGTGAGGAGCCTCTCAGAGTTGCAGTCCGAGTACGCGGTCCGGGCTGCTATGATGGCTGGTCGCAGAGCTGAGCTTGCTCAGAAGCGGAGAAAAGGGCATGCCAAATCTCTTGTCTCAGACGAAGAAGAACTTCTCCCTACGGGTGATGATGACGAGACCTCCGAGGACGAGTATGCGGACGCAGATACCGGCAGAGGGGATCTCGATACTGGTTTGTCCTATCTCTTTTAATTTTCATTTTCCATAAATGACAGCTCTTTTTCATTGAAATGGCTATTGTCACTTTAGGTAGGGCAGTCAATGATCATGAGCCACCAGCTCCTACACACGTTGAAACGTGTGATAGGCCTGCGCATGTTCGACCCTTTGGTCCTCGGAGGGTTGGTGCCCCGAAGAGGAAGAAGACCGCCCATAAGCCCCATGACGATTTGTCCCGCACCAGCCTTCAGATGCTCTACCCATCGAGGTGCTCTTCCCTGCAGTTCAGCTAGCCTACGGGAGAGAGCTTTCCCTGCTCCCAGCAATGGTTGCTAGCATCCATTGTGGGCTCAGGTGTTTAGTCAGCAGTTTCACACATATGGGTTCTGAACCATCAGCTGAGCTCCGAAGGTTGAGCTCCCTTACGCATATTTGATGGCGTGGCTCGTTCTTCACCGTCCCGACTTGATGTCGGCGCCCAGCGTTGTTGACATCCCCGTCCCTTTCATGCAATTGTTGGAGCAGAGCAAATGGCTCGGGAACAAATTCAGTGATGTTCAACGAGAGCTCCGAGTCCGCAAGAGTTGGGAGTTCTTTAAGTGTTTTCCTCGCTTTTCAGGTCGCTATGGCGACGTGCTACTTGACGAGGAGAAACCTAGAAGTGACCGAACCATTCTTGATGCTGGTTGCTTCCGGTGGCTAGTGAACATCTGCCTTGGGTATCTAAGAGATGACAAACAGATCTTGCGTTTGTTTGAAAAGAGTTGTATCTATTTTGTTTTCATTGTGTACCGGTCTTATAAAAAGGCTATCTCTTTATTTCATTGTAACGATTGAAGTTGTAATGAATGCAGCAATGAATACAGCAACTTTTTCCGCAAACAACTTTGCTCTCCCTTCATATAGGCGTAAGCCGCTAACCACTTTCCTCAGCTGCAAATGGTTCCTTTCCGCCTATGAATCCCTTAGTGTTAAGAGCCTCTCAGAGTTACAGTCCGAGTACGCGGTCCGGGCTGCTATGATGGCTGGTCGCAGGGCTGAGCTTGCTCAGAAGCGGAGAAAAGGGCATGCCAAATCTCTTCTCACAGACGAAGAAGAGCTCCTCCCTACGGGTGACGATGACGAGACCTCCGAGGAAGAATATGTGGATGCAGATACCGGCAGAGGGGATCTCGATACCGGTTTGTCCCGTCCCTTTTAATTTTCCTTTTCCATAAATGACAGCTCTTTTTCATTGAAATGGCTATTGTCACTTTAGGTAGGACACACGTTGAAACGTGTGATAGGCCTGTGCATGACCGACCAGTTGGTCCTCGGAGGGTTGGTGCCCCGAAGAGGAAGAAGACCGCCCATAAGTCCCACGACGGTCAGCGTCCCTATGGAGTGGATTTAGGAAGCACTGCCGATGGAGGGGAAGGTAACATTTAATTGCTCTTGATTCAAGGTTGTTTACCTTTTGGGATTTGTAACCATGTTTTGTGCTCCAGGTTTCTTTGAAGAGGGCGAACTCCCACCGAGTCCGGCATCTCCTGTTGTTGATAACATGGATTGCTTTGTGCAACAAATGTGCGACG